TTTGCTAACTTAACCGGAGTGGTATACCATCTATACATCATTTTCATTACATTTCCTGGGTGTCATTTCCGAGGGGCGTGACATGCGGTGCCCCACCTGCCCGTGACTCCCTGCTACCCCAAGCCATCGGGGGAAGAGGGGGAGCTGTGCCGCTTTGCTGGCAGCCTTCCCCTCTTCGTTTTGACAGCCCCGCGCACCTGGGCTGCTGGAGGGGAGAGGACGGGAAGGAGGCAGGTGAGCAAACAAGCAGAGGGTGGATGGAAGGAGAGAAGCACAAGCTTCCTCTACTCAGGACCCAAATCCTGTAACCCCAAAAAAGCTCAATAACTTTGGCCAACCCCCTCCCCTGAACAACAACTGGCAATGACAATGGGTAGATCACAGCCACTCATTTTATACTGTGAGTAGATCACAGTCTCTTGGGAGTCCAGCTAGATTTCAATGAGTGTGTATGGGGGGAGGATGACAAGAAATTTTCCGCCCCGGGTACCACCTGACCTTGCTATGCCACTGCTTGAAAAAGCAAGCCATGCCTGAAGGTGAGGTCTAAACCACTTGGAAAACTGCCTGGTCCTGCAAGGCCACTAAATGCCCTTTCTCTTCGCCAGCCAGGGAGTGGTCTGTTCTGCTGTCTCTGTCTCCCCATCATTTTGCTCCCCTGGCATGTCTTGCCTCTGTCTACTCCAGCCATCACTCCACCAAGATGTTTCTATGGCAACGCTGTCGAGCCACGGATGAGACATTTTTATTTAAACCCGAAAGATAACAGGAGACCATGCCAGACAAATTACCTCCAGGCAAGCTGCATCGCCTTGTCAGACAAGGAGGGCTTCTCCCTTACGCCAGGGCTTTGCACACACCACACGTTGAAAGCATGTGACTTCTCCTGCAAAGAATCCTGGGAAATGTAGTTGACACTTCAGCTCTGCAATTCCCAGCACCCTTAAGAAACGACAGTTTGCGAGAACAAGAAATATAACAGGTGATAACAAAGTATTGTGTTCAAAGAACAGAATGTAACATTTGATGAAATAAATCAGAAATGGAAGTTGGGGGAAGTCAACAGGGAGGGGGGAAATTGGAAAATGAATGTTAATGCGGCAAGAGTATTGTTAGCCCAGAAATGGAAACAAGAAGAAATTCCGACGAAAGAAGAATGGCAGACGAAATTAATGGACTATGCAGAATTGGACAAAATGACAGGAAGGATTCGAAACCTGCGGGACCAGAGATTTACAGAAGATTGGAAGAATTGTGTGAATTATTTGAAGAGCAACTGTAATCAACAAATTACACTAGTAGGACTACAAGAAGTTTTGTAAGGAGAAATATACGAAGTGTTACAAAGTAGAAAAAGATAGAGATATTGGTTATGAGTTTGAAATGTAACAGGGAAGATAAGAAATGCATACTGAGAGATTAGATTGGAAAATTTTCAGACAGGATTGATGGAAGTCAAAAATTTGAATAAGATGTAAAAGTATTTTTAATTACTGTTGAAAATGATATGTTAAAAAAATAATAAAAATTATATTTTTAAAAAAGGAAAAAGAATGTTAAGTAATGATATTGGATATTTGTCCTGAGAAAAGAAAATCAATAAAAAATATTTTAAAAAAAGAAACGACAGTTTGCAGGATGCTTGAACTGGGCTTTAAATGTACAGTGTTGTTGTTGTTGCTTTCTTTAGTTTTCGAATGTTGATTTTTGTGTGTTGTGTATTGTTATTTTTAGATATCTTTCGTGTTGTTGTTGTGTGGAAAATACTAATATTTTTTTTTTATTATTTTTAAATGTACAGTGTTTATCAGCCCAAGTGCAGAGAGGTGGGAAACAGGGCTGGGCTACCCAGACTGAGTGAAGCAGCCGCCTCAGGCGGCAGAAGCCAAAGAGGCAGTGAAGTCACGGGACCCCCACCCAGGGACAGAGGAAGGGGGGTGCAGTGTGGCCAGGCCACTCCGAGTGCCATCTCTGAGAGGGGTGACAAAATGCTGGGCGGCACTCACCGCAGGACTTGAAGTGTGCCTGGGCCACGCATCTCTCCTGGGAGTGACCCAGTGGCTTGGACACCCGCAGGCTCCATGCTGCCCCATACTTTCCGCCCGCCTCCTCCCCCTCAGCTGTAGGGTGGCTGAGTGGGAGGAGGCAGGCAGACTCCTCGGAGACCCCACAGAGCATCCTGCCCCGGCTGGCCCTGCCCCAGACGCCTGACCAGCTTGCTCCACTGCTGCCCCCACCCGCTCCACCCGGCAGAGAAGTGGCGCCAGCAGCAGCAGCGGCACTGGTTTCTGGCCAGATTTCACTGGTGCGGCTTTGTGAGCGCCACCACACAACCCAGATAAGGGAGGCTCAAACTCGGCTCCGGTTTGTAAAATGGGGGAAAGCAGCAGAAACTAGCATGCAAAGGTCACCACTGGCACGGCTGATTGAAATTGCTATGTGAACAGGATAATTATTAGTAAATTATTAGACTGTGTATAAGTACAGGATTATCTTTTGCTCCAGCTGTGTATGCACAGGGCTGCTCGGAAAGCACAGCTCGGGTTGTGAAAAATATCTTTCTTCAGCTGGTCTTCACCCACCAGGGATAGAAATGGCATATTGTATTTTAATATTTTGTTGGAAGCTGCCCATCTGGCTGGGGAAACCCAGACAGATGGGCGGGGTATAAATAAATTATTATTATTATTATTATTATTATTATTATTATTATTATTATTATTATTGTTGAAGGTGTGCCTAATTCAAAGCTACTGTTTATGTATATAGTGAAAAATTCTGGGGGGGGGGGGAAAGATTTTATTAGTAATTAGTCATGACTAAACTTTAACTTTAATCCACTGAATATTGTCCTTAGCTTTTGCATGGAATGGAACAAAAAGAACAAAAGTTGATCCAGAATTTATTAATGGAAAGAATCAAAATTTGGAAACTTGCCAAGACAAACCAAACCAAATGAAACCCAGCCAGATGGGCGGGGTATAAATAATAATAATAATAATAATAATAATAATAATAATAATAATAAATTAATTAAGCAAATCCTGAAAAAGAGCAAATCCTTTAAAAAACCCCCACCTTGGCTACATTTATTCATTTTATGAATCTGAAATTCTACCTGGATGTTAATATAAATTTAATCTTTGATCTACCGTTCTAATTGTTTTACTTTAAATAAAAAGAAGTACATTTCGTTTAGCTTCCCAGTGAATAAAGAACCTTCAAGCTAAATAAACTTGCTTATACGCTGCCCCATTTCTCAACTATACTGGAAGAGATTAAGAAACCTATATTCAGTGTTTTCTATAGGGAGTGATTTGTAAAAAAAACCTTAAAGTGCAATGAGAAATCCAGAAATCGGCTTGTGACTAGCACTGTCTTCCATTGATTAAATCTGAGATGCTAGAACAATAAACTAGAACAGCATTTTCAACTTTGGGGGGGCAACTCCTATGCCTCTTCCCCATGATTCCATCCCTGTTCTTCTAAGTCACTAACATCTCAAATGACATATTTGTTTTCAGTGCCTTCAGGCAGATGGAAATTTCCTTCCTTCCTTTGAAAGTCAGTAGAGTAGGAGACTCCTCATCTTGGAGTTGTGGATTCAAGCCCCATGTTGGGCAAATGATTCCTGCACTGGACTTGATGACCCTCGTGATCTCTTCCAACGCTACAATTCCATGAAATTCTAGGAAAATTCTATGTATGGTTCATAGATAATGGCCTTAAAGCTTCGATGATTTCCTAAACTCCTTTAATTCGTGCAAAAACCTATCCAATCAAGCAGATTAAATGGTTAGGCAATGAGCCTGATGTTCTCCAGACCTTTTAGAGTTGAATCTAGAATTGCCTGTTGTACAAGGTTGCATTGTCCCCCACGCAGAACACTCCACCAAATTTCTTATAATTAAACAAGACAGGAAGTGCATGCTGTAAAATTTAAGTGACATTTTAATGACTCACTTTATAATATGAGGGAACAAAGAAGTCTATTCCAGAGGTCATGAGGATCTCATTTACATAATATATCTCTTGTACAAATTAAAGTATTACACAGCCCTTATATTACAGCAACACTAGAATGGTTCAAACTGTATGGGGTGCATTTAAAAAAAGTAATACTCTCCTTTAAGAAATACAATGGAATAACAAGCTGAATCTCAAAAGTCTATTTTGTGCAATTCACAATAATCACAGCAGAAATCAAACCTGGGAGCTGTTTCACATATTGCATTAAAAAAAAATGCACACCTAAAAATTTATGTATAGATCTAAACCTATAAATTACACAGAGACAAATGTGTTTGGAAATACATCATTAGCAGTGGGGAAGAAATTCAGTCTAATTCACATTTTAATGCAATTTGCACTTTCTAAAGCAACACATAAAGAAGGAGCTATCCTTCAAAATTCACACTGCCCTGAATTTTGCAGTGTACAAAATGTGTACAAAAATGCATAGATTGGTTAAAATAACACCCTCAAAAACATTAGGTAAAATTACAGTGGTACCTCCGCTTATGTATCCCTCCGGTTACTTCGGGATACGTAAGCGACAAACCTGGAAGTATATTTCCGGGTTTTTGCTGCGCACACATGCACAGAAGCACTCTACTGCCGCATGTGTGCACGCAGAAGCGGTCTCTCCAGTTGCGAAAACATCGGGATCCGGCCAAACCTCTGGAATGGATCCCGTCTGCAACCGGAGGTACCACTGTACTTGTAAAAATGTGTATATTAGGCAAAACTGAATAAAAATTGGTATGCTAGGAGTAACACACACTAAAATGCTGGTGGATTATTGTGCAGGGTTTTTTAGGGGGCGATGTAAACTGATACAGATAACATTATGCCTCCAACCACTGATGGCTGCTTCATATAGATGTTGAATAGCAGTGGGCACAGAATCAATCTTGGTGGCATGTCACAGGGAAGCTGCCAAGATGTAGACAAGAGGTAGACATGTGTCTCAAGGCTGTTTTCTGGTGCTGGTCATGCAGGTAGGGGCTGAACTGCGGCAACATGGGGCCTCCAACTCCCAACCCACAGACAGGGCCCAGGAAGATGCTGTGGTCCATGGCATCAAAAGCCGCTGAGAGATCTCCAAGCCAGCCTTCGTGTGGCCCTCTCCCACCTCTCCCTTGAAGGAGGTCACCTGCCAGGGTGACCAAGGCTGATTCCTCACCAAACTCAGTCCTAAATCTCTGCTAACATCGGTCCAGATAATCTGTTTCCTCCAAGGGGGCCTGCAGCTGAATCCAATGCCATTTATACAGGAAGGTAAGGGATCTTTTCTTATTCCATCTGCTTCTTAAAGGTAAAGGGACTCCTGACCATTAGGTACAGCCGTGACCGACTCTGGGGTTGCGGCGCTCATCTCGCTTTATTGGCCGAAGGAGTACAGCTTCCGGGACATATGGCCAGCATGACTAAGCTGCTTCTGGCGAACCAGAGCAGCGCACGGAAATGCCGTTTACCTTCCCGCCGGAGTGGTACCTATTTATCTAGTTGCACTTTGACGTGCTTTTGAACTGCTAGGTTGGCAGGAGCAGGGACCGAGCAATGGGAGCTCACCCCGTCACGGGGATTTGAACCGCTGACCTTCTGATTGGCAAGTCCTAGGCTCTGTGGTTTAACCCACAACGCCACCTGCATCCTGCTTCTTACGGGACCACAATTCTGGGTCTTTGTTTTTTTAAGTGCTGCATACTCTAAAAAGCAAAGGTTGAGAGCTGCTATAGAGCCATCGCTGTGCACTTCTGTGAGTTTACAGAAGCATAAACAGAGGCATTTTGAAGAAAATGTGTGAAGGGAGAAAGGTCAGAGGGCAGCAATGAGATGGATAAAGAGGAAGTGTCAGTGATGGTTGTGGAGGCTTCTTATAACAGGTCAATGCATTGGCCGAGATCCAAGAAACACGTGGGCCCATCACATGGGAAGGAGATTGTCTTCAGGTTCTAAAACAAGAAACGAGCACAGCAAGGCGACGGTCACCTCCAGACTGGATTATTGTAACTCGCTCTACGTGGGGCTGCCCTTGAGACTGAAACTCCAGCGGGTGCAGAATGCCGCGGCGAGACTCATTATGGGGTCTTCGCTGCGAGATCATATCCATCTGGTATTATACCAGCTGCACTGGCTCCCGGTGGAGTACAGGATCAGGTTTAAGATGCTGGTTTTAACCTTTAAAGCCCTATACGGCCTAGGACCCTCGTACCTACGGGACCGCCTCTCCTGGTATGTCCCACAGAGAAATCTACGGTCTGCAAATAAAAACATCCTAAAGATCCCAGGCCACAAAGAGGTTAGGCTGGCCTCAACTAGAGCCAGGGCCTTCTCGGTCGCGGCTCCAATCTGGTGGAACACTCTGTCACAAGAGACTAGGGCCCTGCAGGACCTGACATCCTTTCGCAGGGCCTGCAAGACAGAGCTGTTCCACCAGGCCTTTGGTCAGGGCGCAGCCTGACCCCCTCCTCTGGCAATCGGCAATCTGCACAGAATTTGGCCTGATGGTTGCCATTAATTTGATTTTAATTTAATTTGATTTAATTAATTTTATAATGAATGTTTTAGAATGTCGGATTATTTTGATTGTTGTTAGCCGCCCTGAGCCCAGCTTCGGCTGGGGAGGGCGGGATATAAATAAAATTTATTATTTATTATTTATTATAAGGCATCCGAGCAAGGAGACAGGAGACATGCTGGAAGATGAATGCAATACCTGCCAGTCAAAAGCTCTCAGTATTTAATGCCAGCCTCTATTCCTCGTGATTTTAGAGCCCAAAGGAAGCCCAAGGCCAAGATTCTGTTGGCAGTTGCCGCCTTTGTCCTGCACAAGCAGTTTGGTTGCCAACTAGGCTTCTCTTGAACACGGAGGGAATGTCAGAAGATGCTTGATTTGGGCAGCAAAGCTTAAAATACAGCAAATACAGGTGACACTTGGAAAAGTAGAATATCGTTGAAAAGTTCATTTATTTCAGTAATTCAGCTTAAAAGGTGAAACTAATATATGAGATAGACTCATGACTTGCAAAGCGAGATATGCCAAGCCTTTATTTGTTATAATTGTGATGATCATGGCGTACAGCTGATGAACCACAGTGGACCAACACCAGCTAATGACATGGCTCCCCAAATCTCTTTTCTGATGAGAGCAGCTTTTGCATCTCATTTGGAAACCAAGGACCCAGAGTCTGGAGGAAGAATGGGGAGGCAAACAATGCCCGATGCTTGAAGCCCAGTGTGAAGTTTCCACAGTCTGTGTTGATTTGGGGAGCTATGTCATCAGCTGATGTTGGTCCACTGTGCTTCATTGAGTCCAGGGTCAACACAGCCGTCTACCAGGAGATTTTGGAGCACTTCATGCTTCATTTCGCAGACGAGCTTTATGGGGATGCTGACTTCATTTTCCAGCAGGACTTTGGCACCTGCCCACACTGCCAAAAGTACCAAAACCTGGTTCATAGCCTATGGGATTACTGTGCTTGATTGGCCAGCAAACTCACCTGACCTGAACCCCATAGAGAATCTATGGGGCATTGCCAAGAGACAGATGAGAGACATGAGACAGAGCAATGTCTTTCCGAGTTTCACCTGTAACTTAGAATAATAGAGTTGTGACGGACCTTGAGCACCATCCAGTCCAACCCCTTCAGTGCAGAAATATGCAACTGTCGCATACAAGGTTTGAACCTGCAACCTTGGTAATATCAGCACCACACTCTGACCAACCGAGCTTGGGAGAATCATTTAAAATGTAGTGAACCTAACAACATTGCTTGTTCAGTTAGATTCTTCGTTTTCATTGAAACCTTGTCTTACCAAAGGGTGAGGAATCATTTTTTGCTTCTTGCTTTTTAAAGTTGTTCTTGTTTCTCATTACATATTTTTCTCCTGCTGTTCCTACTTAACTTCCACCTTCCTTGACCATTGATCCATGATGACTGGGGATGATGGGAGTCCAATGGGGCCATAGGTTCCCTATTGAAAGAAAAGTCCTGTTGGAAGAACCAAGAGGCCACTGGGTCCAGTCTCTTTCCCTGTGCACTCGCTAAATATATTCTGGCTTTTCTCAAACTCTACAAAGTGTGTGTGTGTGTGTGTGTGTGTGTGTGTGTGTGTAGGGATAGGCACACTTCCCTCTTCTCTTTAAGTTACCAGGTTAAAACCATTTTATTCACTTGAACTCTTGGTGAAAAACAGTGAGAAACAGTTTCTATCCAAATGCTATTTTGGTTTTAAATGCAGTGTAAGGAGTCTCTCCAGTAGTGATGTATGGAAGTGAGAGCTGGACCATAAAGAAGGCTGATCGCTGAAGAATTGATGCTTTTGAATTATGGTGCTGGAGGAGACTCTTGAGAGTCCCATGGACTGCAAGAAGATCAAACCTATCCATTCTTAAGGAAATCAGCTCTGAGTGCTCACTGGAAGGACAGATCCTGAAGCTGAGACTCCAATATTTTGGCCACCTCGTGAGAAGAGAAGACGCCCTGGAAAAGACCCTGATGTTGGGAAAGATGGAGGGCACAAGGAGAAGGGGACAACAGAGGACAAGATGGTTGGATAGTGTTCTTGAAGCTACCAGCATGAGTTTGACCAAACTGCGGGAGGCTGTGGAAGACAGAAGTGCCTGGCGTGCTCTGGTCCATGGGGTCACGAAGAGTCAGACACGACTAAATGACTAAACAACAACAACAAGGAGTCTCTATGGGAGTATATTATATTTTTAAAATGGGGTCTCAGAGTTTTTAGTGGGCTAACCAGGTTGGGATAGCTGGGATAGCAGGCTTGTTGGTTTTGAATGTCTTATTTGGTTTTTCTTTCTCAATTTTGTTGTTCTGTATGGGACAATGACAATAAAGATTATCGTATTGTATCGTATCGCATAACAGCAGGTTCTCCAAGGTCAGAGCTAGCAGTCTTTCCCGTCATCTGTGATCAAAATTGGGGTGCAAAGCTCCACAAGTGAGCTCTGGCCCCCTACCCTAGTGCAACACAGTTTCTTAAAAAACCCCACTTCCTTAAGAGTCCAGAATGCTGAATATTTTCTTGACGATTCCTTGCTGTTTCTTAGATCCTTAATGATGCACCCACGTTCATCGGAAATCTTAGAGACCTGCTGAAATGGTGCCGCTTGGGGGGATGGGAGGAAGGGAGCAGAAGAACCATGCAGGAAGGGACGATGAGCAGCTAAGAAGCAAAGCATGCCAGTGGGCTTAATTTAAAAAATAAAAGGGAAGTCTGCCAGGCAACAGCAACCCTGTGGCTTCAGTCACTAGAGCGGCTCATGCAGGAAAAGGTGGCTATATTTAGCACAGCACCACAACCTTCTCAAGCCCAAATCCAGGCACGTCGTCAGCAACACAGCATTAGCAAAAGCCTGACAAATTCCTGCTGGTTTTAAAATACTGTCGCGCACTGTCCCGTCCCCCCCCCCCCCGCAACCCGGTGGCAGATTTTGCTCTTTGTGGCCTCTTTTAATGTGGCAACAGATGGTCAGGTCGGTACAGTACATCCAGATTCAGTGCTGGCCTCCCTCTCTGTAAGTCGGCAAAGAGGTTCAGCCGGGTCTTGCTGCTGGCGGGATTTTACCAGGCACAAGGTCTGGGATGACAAAGGAACTGATTAGCCAGCACAGATTTCTGATCTCTGGAGGCTTCTGGGCACGAAGGATCACCCCCGCAATTGCTGGGGAGTTTCTGGACAGGCTCCCCAGAATTACCATATTTTTCGCTCCAAAAGGCGCACTGGACCATAAGGCGCACTGCATCTAGTTTTTAGAGGGGGAAATAAAGAAAAAAAATCTTATCCCCCCCCAGCCCCAAAGAGTAGCGGACAGGCTGTACGCAGCCTCTGGGGCTGCCAGGGGAAGCCCAGGTTTCCCCCCCCTACACCAAAGAGTAAAGAAACCAAGACAGCGAGCGGGATCCATCCCCAAAGAGCAAAGAAGCCATAGCCACGTGCAGCCTCTCCCAGCCAGAGGAGCTGCACGCGGATATGGCAATACCCCCACCTCCCGCAAAAGCCCACAGGAGCAGCACACCCTTTAAGGAGCACACGGCTCCTGCGGGCTTTTCTACGAGAAGGGAGAAGGGACTGACTGGCCACGTCAGTCCCTTCTCCCTCTTGGGGGCATTTCCTGCCTGCCTCCTCCCTGCATTCGCTCCATAACACACACACAAATTTCCCCTTACTTTTTAGGAGGGAAAAAGTGCGTCTTATGGAGCGAAAAATACGTTACTTGGGCAAATCTCGCTACTTACCTGTGCTTTGTGGCACAGGAGGACCCCACATGTCACAAAGGCCTTGAGTGTGGAAACAGAGGGAGCTATGCAGTCCTTTGGATCTGCCAATTTGTCTAATAAGGGCATTTTTGTGTGTGTTAAGTGCCCTATGGTACATTAAGGACGACTGTGGGTCTTTATGGGCCCTGCTGCTGAAACCCCAAAGTTCACTGCCCCAATATTCGGCTCCCAATGAAGGCATTTTTTGTTTTGTTTTGCTGCAGCAGCAGCGACAACAACTTCCTGGCTGCTGCTGCCTAATGGCAGAATTAAAATGGTAGTTTCAAAAAGTACTACATATAGTGCTATTTTATCCTGCAGTCTGTTTTCCAAGGCCAAAATCCTTTTATTGTTCACTCGCAAATCCCATTTAACTAAGCCCCCCTGCAATGCTAATTAGTAGCTTTCTTATAGATTCTGCCCATTATTATTATTTTTTTGCTTTTAATTTAGTGCATTTGGGGGATTTATAATTTACCGCCCCTTAGTCAGCATCTGTTGCCAACATGCAGCTTTTATAACTTGCTTTCTCTTCCCCATCAATTTTTATTTGATAGCATTTCCCCCCCTCTTATAGCAAAATAAAACTTATCTGAAAGGAAACCAGTAACCAAAGCCACTTCTCCAATGAGGAACTCAAGTTGACTGACCAAGGAGCAATTAATCACTAATTCCTCAGCTGCATTGAACAAGAGAAAGCAGTAAAGGGGGCAGAGTAGGTAAGGAAGAAGCTTTTATCTAATCAAATTACAACTTTAATTTAAGTAGCCTTGAAAAGCCTCAGAGCACTGATCAAGTTGGAAAGGCAGGCACTGTAATGGCATTTTATTACTGTGCTGAAAAATAGACATAAATCAGCTATTAAACATGGCAGGAGACCATGCCAGAAAACCAGAGGGTTGCAAACATTTGGCCACATCACCAGGATTCTCAGGAAAGTGGAGAAAGAATGGCAGGGTCAGGGAAGACAGCTAGTCTTATAAAGAACACAAGTAATTTATTGCAATAAGGTAAAGGTAAAGGGACCCCTGACCATTAGGTCCAGTCGTGACTGACTCTGGGGTTGCGGTGCTCATCTCGCTTTATTGGCCGAGGGAGACGGCATACAGCCTCTGGATCATGTGGCCAGCAGGACTAAGCCGCTTCTGGCGAACCAGAGCAGCGCACAGAAACGCCGTTTACCTTCCCGCCGGAGCAGTACCTATTTATCTACTTGCACTTTGACGTGCTTTCGAACTGCTATGTTGGCAGGGGCAGGGACCGAGCAACGGGAGCTCACCCCATCACGGGGATTCGAACCGCCGACCTTCTGATTGGCAAGTCCTAGGTTCTGTGGTTTAACCCACAGTGCCACCCGTGTCCCTAATTTATTGCAATAGTGCTAGGATAATTCAGATAATAAATCTATCCTCCCCCAGCTGATTTTAACTGCACCATTTTCACCGACCTGTAGAAGGTACCATTGAAGTATGTGATGTTACATTAAATGTGGACAGAGAACAGTGAGCATCTGGGCTTGGTTTTTAGGTTCAGGAATCGGACAAGACAAGAACAACAAACTGGTAGCCAGCCAGCCCTAAATCGATGCCCCCAGCAAGTTTAAGAAAACTACCACATCCATCTATGGAAGAAAAGAGCAGTTGCAACTAGAGTCCACTACAAGGAAAAATAACCTAGGAGCAGATATGTCTTCTGTATGATAGCTACCAAGAACTTTATAAAATGAGCTGCAGAATGGGGAAAAAGTAGTAGTTTTAACCAATAAAGAAACTTGTATCAAAGTGAGTCAGTGAGACTGCATGGGAGAGAAGCAAACAGAAGCAATTTTTTGCAAAGAGGAAAGTACCATATTTTTTGCTCTATAAGACTCACTTTTTCCCTCCTAAAAAGTAAGGGGAAATGTATGTGCATCTTATGGAGTGAATGCAGGCTGCGCAGCTATCCCAGAAGCCAGAACAGCAAGAGGGATTGCTGCTTTCACTGTGCAGCGATCCCTCTTGCTGTTCTGGCTTCTGAGATTCAGAATATTTTTTATCTTGTTTTCCTCCTCCAAAAACTAGGTGTGCCTTGTGGTCTGGTGCGTCTTATAGAGCGAAAAATACAGTATTTCCATTCTCAGAGCACACTGTGGACCAGGGTGTTTTGTTCCCTTAAACACTTGCACGTTTCAGAATATCCCTGGACTAGACTTGTTTGTTTAAATTGGAAAGAATGAATTCCAGACATCACCATACAACAGAGCAGGGCAGAACGCTGTCCTTCTCGATGAGAATACGTTTGATTAATAGTGAAGAGTGTGTGTCCATATGGCGCTCAATATCACTTGCCCTAGAACAGCTGTTTGTGAGATGCCACTTTACTCAGCCTCCTGCAGCTCAGAAGCCAGCAACAGGCACCAACGTATTTTATTTCTGCTCTTCAGCACATCAGTATTGCTGAACGGATATCCATGAAATGCCAGAACAAAAATTCTCATGTTCTGTGGAGTTATAGTTCCCAAAACACAGGTGGTGCCAAAGTTTCAAATTAAATATCCCCCTAGACTACCCAGAAGAATTGTGGCAGTCATTTAAAAAAAAACAAAAACAAAAAACAACAACATAAAAATATGCAGCTCCCAAGCCTTTAATCTACTGTCTTTGCCTCCATTTCAGGAGGAATCTAAAATAATCCTCAATTCGGTCTGATCCTTTGTTGTTGTTTAGTCGTTTAGTCGTATCCGACTCTTCGTGACCCCATGGACCAGAGCACGCCAGGCACTCCTGTCTTCCACTGCCTCCCCAGTTTGGTCAAACTCATGCTGGTAGCTTCGAGAACACTATCCAACCATCTCGTCCTCTGTCGTCCCCTTCTCCTTGTGCCCTCCATCTTTCCCAACATCAAGGTCTTTTCCAGGGAGTCTTCTCTTCTCATGAGGTGGCCAAAGTCTTGGAGCCTCAGCTTCAGGATCTGTCCTTCCAGTGAGCACTCAGGGCTGATATCCTTCAGAATGGATCAGTTTGATCTTCTTGCAGTCCATGGGACTCTCAAGAGTCTCCTCCAACACCATAATTCAAAAGCATCAATTCTACTGATGCTTTACTCTTCCATAATGCTGCATTTCACAATGCTGACCACAACGTTGATTTTCTTCAGGTTAAAACCCAAGGAAAAATCTGTACCAGCTGCCTTGCAAAATATCTTTGGGAGAAGAAAAGGCTAAATTCTACACAAATCTGGAGCAGAGTCCCTAAGGCAGTTTGATGGCACCTTGTAAGCCTCCTTCCTGCAGCCAAGCGGGTGCCGAACGTTTTGCTCTGCTTTCCTTTGGACCATGTCAGCGAGGCTGAGAGGGGGGTCTTGTCATCTGGGCAGCCGAGGACCTCCAGACACACTGCCCAGATATGCGCCCCAGAAAGGTCACTTCAGGAAAAACAATGCAGGAGGCAGCAGTTAAGAGTTCCTGGTCTCTGCAGCCACAGCAGGCGCTGTGATTCTCCAGCAATTTGACTTCACCCTTGGAGGCGAACTCCATTGTCTCTTGAGACAGGCAGATGCCAGCAAATGGTGATCTTCTACACCAGTGTTTCCCAACCGGTGTTCCGCGGCACACTAGTGTTCCGCGAGACGTTGCCTGGTGTGCCGCGAGATGTTGCCTGGAGGGAGGCGGGCGAGTCGGGCGGCGAGAGGCGGGGCGGCGGCGGCGAGGAGAAGCCGCCCAGCGCGGGGCTCTCGCCGTCTGCCTGCCTGGCTGCCTGCGTGGCGCTGACGTCACGGGGCTGTAACGTGCCCCACATAGGCACACGGACTCGGGCGGAGTGGGGTGGGGGAGGCGCCTGTGGGCGGAGAGAGATAAAGAGAGAGGAGCGACCTGCCCGGCTCTCCCTCTCTCGCACACCCGCCGCCTGACTGCGCAACCCGAAGAGAGGCGCAAATCCCGAGGCAGCCAACCAAGCCCTCGCCCAGCCCGCAGATCCCACCCCTCTCCCGATGACGGACGCGCCCAGCCACCATTAGGAGAGGGAAGCATTCCGCCGAGTTGGTCGCCGAAAGCGCGCTCTGGGAAAGAGGAGATAAGCCCAAGGGCGCGAGGTGAGGGGAGAGCCGAGGAGGGCACGCAAGTTTCGCACGGGCCGATAGAAATTGTATGAACGAAGGGGAACCGAGCGAGGCTGGACGTGACGAGAAAGAAGCACGCCTGGTGTTTCGAAAGTCATGCTTATTGAAAGGAGACTGCGGCGAAGCTGACTTGCCTCCCATCCTTATTCTGCCTCTCACACGCCTAGTACGGCTTTTTATTGCCCACTCAGTAATTGGAGAGGCGCTGCATGCTGGGACCAATGAGGCAACCCGTGCTGCAAAGCTTGCTGGGAATTGTAGTTTTAGCCAGGCCAGGAACTCCCGTCGATAAGCTATTAGAGCGCGCCGCTCCGGAGTGCTCCCCTCATTTTTCCCTCGGTCCCCCGCCCCCCGTATAGAGTGGCAGCCGTTTTGGCCAATTGGGATCTGCGTTTCTGCGCTGCTCCGTTCTAAGGCTTTCCAAGCTAGGATTCGCGCTCCCGCGAGAATCAGAGAGAGGGGCCTAAGAAGAGGTAATGGGTTTGTCATGACAACCACCCGGGTCTCTTCTGCGGGGCAAGGGGCTGGGCGCGCGAGGCAGAGGGAGCGAGCAGAGCAGCGCTGGTCTTTGTGGCGCCTTCAGCCCTCGGGACCTGCAGCCGCCCTTCTTTGACCTCCCGTAGCTGTTCAGGATCCTCACTTACTTTCAGTCTTGCTAAAGAAGGGCGAGGTTCCTGAGCTCGGGAGGTTCCCTGCAGCTATTGCTCATCTCATATCCTTCCCTTTAGGTGGTGGTGGGAAATCAAGATCTTGCAATTTTGCATTTAAGAGACCCAGTAAAGTACTGCCACTGTGGTAAGGGCATATGCTTATTTTGTTTAAAGGTAAAGGTAAAGGTACCCCTGCCCATACGGGCCAGTCTTGACAGACTCTAGGGTTGTGCGCCCATCTCACTCAAGAGGCCGAGGGCCAGCGCTGTCCGGAGACACTTCCGGGTCACGTGGCCAGCGTGACATCGCTGCTCTGGCAAGCCAGAGCCGCACACGGAAACGCCATTTACCTTCCCGCCAGTAAGCGGTCCCTATTTATCTACTTGCACCCGGGGGTGCTTTCGAACTGCTAGGTTGGCAGGCGCTGGGACCAAGCAACGGGAGCGCACCCCGCCGCGGGGATTCGAACCGCCGACCTTTCGATCAGCAAGCCCTAGGCGCTGAGGCTTTTACCCACAGCGCCACCTGCGTTTACGCACCGGTTTATTTTGAGAACGTTATACCCCCCGCCTCCTCCCCACCTGCTCCCTCGCCAGCCAGCCAGCCAGCCGCGGGCCCTAGCCGGAGAGCCCCGGCCGTCCCCGTCGCACAATCGGCTGGATCTCCCTTCAGCAGGCCGTGCTCACAACTCGGCCCAGGGACCCCCCAGCAGCGGATCTCCGGCCCAGCTGAAGAATCCGGCAACAAGCCCCCTCCTCCCCAATCGCTCTGGCTCCGCCGAAATACTTTAAAACTCACTAATTTTCATCTAAAATTTAGAAAACTTCCCGGGGCAGGACCCCGGTATGGGCCCCCCAATATTTTTTATAAGTCGGCGCCCCTGCACGCGGGGCGGCGAGCGAGCTCCCTCCCACATCCCATCGCCGCTCGCTTCGGCCGGCCTACTGGGCTGTCGCAGGCGGAAGGCCTGCGCATGTGCGAGGTTTTCGCGCCTTCGGGATTCCCTTCACGCCTTCCTCCTCCCGGGTCCTTGAGAGCGCGGGAAGCGGCAGCGCGAGACCGGCGTTGAGCCTGGTAGGTATTGCGCTTGCCAAGGCAGTCATTTGGGAAATGAAAACTTGCAAAGCAAGCAACCAGTTCAATCTGAAGTACGTGTATGCTTAATATCCTGTATCTGAAACCTGTTCTGCCCCCTCCCCCCCACACTTGGTGCCATTTTCATCTACACATGCAGCAGAGTAAGTTGACCCAGAATAGTACCAATTCAGATGGCAGATGGGAGAATGACAGTGCTGAATGCTTTCCCATGTAGAACAGTCCCTGCAAATAAAAACCTAGCATATTTGGAAGAGGGATGCTAGCCTAACCATTACCTTCTATGCTGTTACTATTTTTTTTTTTTTTTTACATAAGTAAAAAGTGACCTTTCCCCATCTGGCATGGTGGTGTGCCTTGAGATTTTTTTCATGAAACAAGTGTGCCTTTGCCCAAAAAAGGTTGGGAAACACTGTTCTACACAACATGAGATAATAGTCAAGTGTGTTCAAGTCATCTCATTTACCAAATCTCTGGTTTTAATTCTTTAGGTAGCCAAGCACATTGTTAATTTAAAAATGCATAACAATATCTTAATTTTAAGGCCTCTGACGTCGAAGCGCTGCAAGCATGTTGCCCCACCTACAGGAAATGAGAGTTACATTTTCTCTGCTGGAGACAAGAGTTCTCTTTGCCAGGGTGGAGGGGCACGTATCAGTTGGTAGGGGCAGCAAGCATGCCTTGCCAGTGTGCAACTGGGAGTGTGTTTGCTGCTGATTTTGTGTGAGCTGTCCTCTCTCCACAGACCCATCAATACCACGCATGATGAGAAGGTGGGAGGAAACGGCTTCATGGGATAAAAGTTCCCTTCCCTTGCTTGATTTTGTACATATATTTAAACACCAAATAAAATAGCCAGCCCCCTCTACTGCAGACCCGGTTGCAGAGCCCACCACTCCCAACTGTTTGCTAGGGGAAAGCAACAAACCCAAGGTGTGTTTTCTCTTCACTATAGTTTCTAACCCATGCAAGTTAGAATACAGATTGCTATAAGGTAAAGGGACCCCTGACCATTAGGTCCAGTCGTGGCCGACTCTGGGGTTTGCAGCGCTCATCTCGCTTTATTGGCCGAGGGAGCCGGCGTACAGCTTCCGGGTCATGTGGCAGGCATGACTAAGCTGCTTCTGGCGAACCAGAGCAGCACACGGAAATGCTGTTTACCTTCCCACCGGAGCGGTACCTATTTATCTACTTGCACTTTGACGTGCTTTTGAACTGCTAGGTTGGCAGGAGCAGGGACCAGAGCAACGGGAGCTCACCCTGTCGCGGGATTCGAACCGCCAACCTTCTGATCGGCCAAGTCCTAGGCTCTGTGGTTTAACCCACAGCACCACCCGCGTCCCTACAGATTGCTATATGGTACTACTAAACACGTATTTATGGAGGCAGCTGAGGCAGGTTTTGCTTCCAATATCTACATCTAACTAATCACTGTGCTTGGAGACAAGAAACACTTCCCTCTATCAGATCAGACTGACTCTCAATGTCTTTTGCATCTTCTACATGGCTTTGGCTCAGCTGTTTTAAGCTTTTTAGGTTTGGCACAGGGCTCTCTTTGCAGTCTGCTTACAGAAGCCAAGATTCTGGAGGAAGACCCATTTATAAAGGCTTGACCAAGAACAATCCACTCTTAACACAAAGGAAATGTTGTCCGCCTAGATCCTTATAAAACGCTTTCAACCATAAGGCTGCATTTTAATGTATTGTTGCAAACAACTTCTGTTATGGGCAATTCTTTGTTTACCTTGGTTGGCAAGATGTCAACAGATCAAGTATCAGGAGAGGGTGAAAGCATGTGTATCCCTCTGAAATTCAGCACTGAAAGGAAAAAACTATTCCCTGAGGGGATGAGAAATTGCCACACTTGGCTCATAGCAGATGGCAGAACTCTGCAAAAAGGCATTTGGAAACTAAGGAGGATAGCGAATACAACATGGAAGCAAGCGTCACAAAGACGTGCCAATATCATAACTGTGTCAGGCTGGTCATAATTCCCTTACAATCCTAGAAGCTTTTGCAATGACAACAGGAAGGAGATTCTGCTGACTCAGAACATTGGTGATTTGTAGACATCTTTTGAGAGCAAAGCGAATTGAGAGCTTTCTTTTAGACATAGAATCATGGGAAAAGGAGGGCAGTCTGGATTTAAAGCAGCAGAAAGGGCACTTCTGATACCTGATCTCAGTGGAGGAGAGTGCTGAGGAAATGGGGGATGGATCCTGCCAAACTTTAGACTGACAGGAGCAGGTGGAACTTGCTCTCCTGCGATTGTGGGCAATTTGGATGAAAATGGCATACCTAGAGGTTGCCTGGTTCCTGATGTATCCCTTGAACACCCCT